TTCATTAAATATTGTTGTAACATTCGTACGTTTTTATTCCTATCACTGGAATTTTAGATTGCACCTTTAGCTATTGCCTTTGTGTACATTTCTGCCGTTAATTAATTGAATCTAAATCTTTTTTATTGCGTTGAAATGGCACACATTATTCGCTATTTAATTCATTGTTAAACGTCTAATCGCACATTGCCGGTACTGCATTCCCTAATGGTGGAAGTTGCTTCGTTTTATTCAATGGTCCCATTAGTTAACATTGGGAATTGACGTTTTATTATTAAGTGGAAATAAATAAAAACCATTTATCATAATTCTCTAGCTTTACAACATGGGATTAAGTTGTCTCCATTGTATTCGTATCAGTTTATTTTAGTGCGATTATTGCTATTTACACACATATTACTGGCAAACAAATCTGCTATTAAATGTCCTTGTTTGACGGCAGTTCCTAATGTTTGATTCAGTTGGACTGTGTTGCAATCGGCTTGTAACATATTTTTGCATAAAATTTAGACCAACAACAAGGTTTACTAACAATGTTGGCAAACATTATATCCGAAGGAGCCACTAAATGGTCAGACGCGTCCAAGCTCCTCACCCTCCTACATATAGCATTTTATGTTTTTATCGTGCAACACTTTTTGGGGGAAATGCAACCTTATGCTGGCCACAACATGCAATAAACAGAGAATGCTCGCAGGTGGCCAAAGCTTTATCTAAAGATGGCCAATAGTCGTTGAAGCCAAATCACTGCCAATTACTTGGAACGCAAAAGGCAATTTGGTCTGTGTGGCTTCACAAACATAAAACGATTTTCTAAAAATATTATGCAATTATTTTAAAATCAAAGTGCACTTTTTTTCATACTTGCAGCATCCCTCTACCGTAAAAGGTCGAAAGGACATTGAAGAAGTTATAAAGTATTTCTATTCCACCCACTGAAAAATGTATCTACCATTATTCTAAATAAAGCATTTTGCTTACTTTAATAAATATAACCAACTCTTCTTCATTCTAGGACAATCAATCTCTCTATCATGTAGGCATATAAGTATTACAATTTGTTGGAAGTTAAAGAACTTGTTTCACATTCATCTGAATTATACAGCGACTAGACTTCTCATCTCCCAAAACAAACAGAACATTAACTCATGCTAGTCCTTGTTTTATACAAGTATATAAATCCTTATTCTTTATACTATATCTAAAGAAATAAATTTAAATGCCGTTAAAATGCCTAAATCTAGAGGAAAATGTTTCAAACAGTATTTGTTTCTGTGTATCGAAAGTTTTTTTTTTTTCAGCCAGTGAGCGTTAATGTACTATAGTATCTGGCTTAGAGTTTTTCAAACAATGCCGCACAAACAGCGACCACCGACTGCAACAACAATAGCAACAATGGCAAAGGCAATGGCAAAAACAACAATAACTTGTCTGCTAGTCATAGATAAGATCGTTGAAAGATCAAATTCATGTCGTAGACGGACTATGCCATATATATGCCAGATAAGGTTCCCTCACTGACTGCAGCAGTAAATTACAGCTACTGGGAGCAAAAACAATGCTGGGCCATGCGAAAAGCGCAAATTCCAATCAAATGTTAGGAAATAAAAACAGAATGCACTCTAAAAGGCTCGAAAAAAGGAATCTGCTTTGGGGATCTTCGATTTCTGAGACATCGAAATATTGCATTCATTTTAGCATCCATTAATCCAAAATCATGTGTAAAATATATCTCATTGAATCGAATTTTTATTTTGAATTGATTATTGATTTTTTGAGTTATGTACTAAATAGTCTAAGTATTATCGCGTGTTCTGGTATTTTTCTCAGTACAACAAAATAAAGCGATTCTAATCTGTTATCTGATTAGAATGTTCAACATTATTACTGAGTATTAAACATTGTTGAAAGAAAGTCTGTATTGGCTGTGATTATATAGCTAGAATGTATAGTCTGGTATTGGATGCTGCACCCCATAGGTCCAGATAAGATTCGAGGATTTGTGTTCAGGTAGTTGAAATTACTGACAATGTAAAAAATAAACGAAGCGAAACTAATCAATGAAAGCTTGAAATGTTTGATAACCCAACCCAATCATTTCCTATATACATAGGTATGTGTACATATACGAGTGTGTAGGTGTGGCTGATCGATGGCTGTCTGATTAGCCGTAAAATCTTTATGGCTTGTGATCTTAAAATGTAATCCGACACAGAGTTCAATGTCAATGTATACTCTGTAAGGAATACGACGATAGCAGCTCGCAATCTACTAAATTGATATCGATAGAAAAAAAGTATGTTTGAATTATGAAATATGAATGAAGCTAGCAAGAATTTCGGTTCTATCTATCTTCCAATTTCCAGAAGAGGCCTATTTAACAACAAGTGTAATGTTATGTTTCCTATTAAATAAATATCAGACATTCTAGATAACTGCGGTGATGACGATGACGATGATGACGACGATATCGCGCTTATAATGCGGCTATCTTGTATTTATATACGAGTATAGCTGGCAACTGGCCACAATGCAACTGCCATTGTTAACAAGACAAGCAAGACAACAAGTTGTTGGCGATGGTGACGGCATTTTGCTGTTGTCACAATCTTAATGAGCCCGTTATGCACATGGAAGAAGACACTGTCTGACAAGTTGACATAATGGATGATGAAACGCTAGTACGAGCATCTGAAACCTGGTACCTGGTACCTCGTGTTTTGTGGTATCTAATATCTGGTATTCTAAATAGCCAAGTCGACAGCATCGAACAGTTGAACATTGAGTAAACTGCTGGATTATGTTCTACATAGATGCTGAGATACTTATGTAGCTGAAAAATTGTGGGTGGCCATGCCACCCCACATACTCAAAGCTGTCAGATGCAATTTCGATATCTTTGGTCACTGGATGAAGTCTTTTATGGCAAGAGTGTCACAGTCGAGTGCAAATTGTAAAACTGAATGGTTATAAGTAGAACAAATGGGTGGGGGTGGGGGTGGTTGGATTCAGAGAAATGGATGCTGTCGAGGCAGTCTCGATGACTGTAAAAAGGCATTTAATGGATTTGGTCAAAAAATGTTTATGACTGCGAGCACAAGTTGCAAGGAGCGGGCAGACATGCTGGCTGGCAACAAAAACAACAGCAGCAACCACAACAACAACAACACGAGTAGCAGTAGCAACAACACATTCTTCTGCTTTCATTTTCAACACGCGCCGCACGAAATTAACGGCGAAAGCCAAAGCTAGCAAATTTTTAATGCGCTTCCAGCTGCACTGGCCAGCACACAACACATTGGAGAGATGCGGTAATAAAAGTTGCGGCAAGACGCACCAAATGCAAACGCACACTACAATGTGGCAACAGTGGCAACGGGGACAACCAAAGTCAAGAAAGAGCGCTTTAATCGTTGAGCAATTGACTATACGGGTAGTATTATATTTCGCACACTATTTCCATATTGCTAATAAGAGGAATACGCATTTCAATAAATATGCTCCACTGACACGGTCGTAGTTTATAGGGAGGAGTACGAGTGGCGGAAAACTGATCTTAAAGACAGATCAAAACTATATTAAAGATTGTTTATTGGGACAGATAAATGTAGATCTTTAATAAGGGTTTGCTATCATTTTTCATATAACCTTTTAAACGTTTAACAGCACTATAGACAGAGCTCAGATTGTTTTTAAAATCGAAGGGCAGGCGCCAACATCCTAACACTCTATAGGTATGATTTGTTCTTTTTAACTCGCTTCTAAATGAAGATGTGAGATATTCAAAGAAATTATCGCAAGGGATTGAAAATAATTGAAATGGAAACGGAGTTCTACTGAGCCCGAGATTTCACATTTATTTTCTATTTCACTTGAAATACTTCCATAAAATATTTTTATTTGCAAAGTCATGACTTTTTCAAAATTCAGGTGCGGGTACAGCTACATATTTTGACATTTCCTCATATACTTACATACACACGAGAACTTTCGAGACATGGTGTTTAGATTAGCTTAGGTCGGGAAAACGATTAAACCAATTGAGATCAAATACAGACTGCTTTGCAAAGCTATAGTATTTGATGGCATGTTATGTACAACAACTATGTATAATAATATGTACGAACAAAAGATAGTTGTAGGATTCCAGGGATTTTGTGAATGGTGCAGGTGAATGCTAAGAATCTAAAAGTGCTCTCACTTCAAGACCTTTTCTTCCCATTTAACAGCGACAGTTTGCATAAAAACAAACAGGCCACTCTCATCGTCATCCTAACTATATACATACATATGTATGTATGTATGTACATGTGTATTAGTTTAGTTTTGTGTTTCGTTTACTTAAAAGCGTTACAAACATCAGCCTGAAGTTGTAATGCCCTTTACAAGGGCAGACATAAACAGAAACAGAAACAAAAACATAAAAGAAGCAGGCAGAAAAGGCAGCAGCACCAGAAGCAGCAGCAGCAGAGGCAGCAGAAACAGAGCGACGAATGGATGGCGGACTAGTTGATGTTTGCTGGTAGGTAGAGCAACAACAGCAACAAAAGCAGCGGGCCGGTCCCGGCTCATGCCTACAAGTATGCCCTGGCCCTGTGTCCATGCTGAGATCGCTGCGCGACTCGCACGTTCGCTGCCAGTGGGCAGAGGCGCGCGTGTGTGTGTTTGTGCGGTTTTGTGTATCTTGCAGATATGTTGTTGTTGTTGTTGCTGCTGCTGCCGCTGCCTCCGTAGAATGCAACAATTGCTGCAGAAAACGAAAGGCAGCAAAAGGCAACAAAAACAAAAATAAACTTGAGCATTCTCTTTGCTCGTTTTTTTTTTGGTTTTTGTTTTTGGAAAGAGCTGTGGCAGCAACAACAACAATAAACTGCGAACTAGCGAGCTGTAGTTGCAACTGTAAATTGCAATAAAATATTTTTTATGTATGAACATTTATTTATACACATACAAACATATACACATATGTACATTTGTTTTTTTTTTTTTTTAATACATACTTGGGCATATTTTTGAGTTCGCCGCAACAACTTGTTTAATATTTCTGTAACAATTTTTTCTCTTGCTTAAGCTTCAACTCACAGCACAACACAATAAAAAAAAGAAACGATTTTTAAATAATAACAAAAACTTGTCAGCGTGAACTAATTAAAAATACAACAAAATTAATTACAGCAGCGCAGCAACAACAAACACAAAAGAGACAGAGACAAGAATGCACACACATACATTTGTATGTATGTATGTATGTATGTATGTTTATAATGTAATATGTGCTGTTATATTATTATTAATTTTATTTCTCTTCTTGTTTTGATTTGCGCGCGCGCCACGTTTCGATGCTGATGCTGATTTCGATTGCAATGATTTACAATTTACAAGCTGGAGAGTTGCAAGTTGCACATTCGCGACTGCGACTCCGACTGCAACTGCGACTGCGACGCGATGTTTTTAACGAATAACAACACGAGCTTGATGTGCTGCAGCTGCGCCGCAGCAGCGCTGTCGCTGACTGTGTCTCTGGCGTTGGCGTTGGCGTCGCGTTCTTTCTAAAGCAAAAGAATGCAGACAGCAACTAAAATCAAACACGCACACAAATCCCAATCCGCTTTGCTTTACTTTTTCCTTTATTTTTGTTTTTGTGCTTCACTTTGGTTGTTGTTGTTGCTGTTGCTGTTGTAGGTTTTGTTGCCGCTGCTGACGCTGATTCAAAAGTCGTCTTCGTTGTACTTAATTGTTGTTGCTAGTAGTCGTGCTTTATAGTTAGACTGGAGGTTACTTTGTCTCTGTTAGTTATACATATTATGGTTTTTGTTGTTCTTATCGCAAGCTGCACTGCGCTTTGGTCTACGTTTCAGTTAGGTTTGATTTTTGTTGTTCCTTTTGTTTTGGTCTTTTTCTGTCTGCTGTTCTCCTATTTCTCGGTTTGCCTCGTTCGGCCGCACGCGCGACTGCTACACACGCCGTTCGAAACACAACTAAAAATGAAATTGAAACTGAAAACGCGTCAAGATAGGTTCGCGTTGGTAGCGAACAAAACACAACATGTTCGATCCATTGCTTGTAACTTGTGACTTGCACCGGCGCACAGTGGACTTAAATCCAGTTTCGATTTGTTGAGTCATTCGGGTCAGCCAAATGTCTGAAGAAACAAACATTTTTATTTCTACATATTTAACATAACATTTTATAAGGTTTTTTCAATATTTATTATATATTCGTATATTTTACAATGTCATTCTATAAATAAATGTTTTAAAAACAACTTGAAATACATTTATTTGATATGTTGGTCAAAAGTTATGCAAAAACAACAACAGGTTGCCAAAATTTAAATATAATAAAAAATATTAATTACATTTTATACAGTCCCAAAAAAGTTTTACAAACGACTATCCAAAGAGTTATTAATTGCCTGTCTTGTCACAACTTTGGTCAAATTTATTGTGTTATTGCAATAATCTGTTTCGTCTTTTGCGTTTATTTATTTGATGTATTACTATAGTATAATTTATGTATGTATTTATGTATCATATAAAACATAGCACATATTTGCACATAATTTCAGTGGCGTAAGCCAAAAAAAAAGGTACAGAAACAACATTGTAACAGAAACGTCATGAAAATATTTCAAGGACTACAGAAGTTATGATTTGTGTCCGCTTCGCCCACTCATGCATCGCACTGTGCCGAGTTGCGTCCTCGTTCTATTGCAACAAAAGGCGCAACATGTTTGGGCTGCCTGGCGCCAAAAAGCGGTGCATTTGAATCGAAATGAACATTTAATTTTCGGGTTATTTGCTTTAATTTGTTTAGCAACAAATACCTGACTGGGCTATTCGTTCACGAAAAATACAGCTTAGTTAAATAGTTTACTAATAAAGCTTAGTTAAATAGCTAACTAATAAAGGCAAATAGTAAGTTTGCAGTTCATGTGGGGCCAAGGCATTAATGAATGATTTTTTATGGCTATTTATAAAGGTATACAAGTAATACGAATCGGAGGTAGCTTTTGCGGAACTAATTACAGAAAAGAACACAGACTTATAAGTATTAAATACTTGAGATGTATATATTTTCATTGGGAAATCGCAACCAAGGGGACTAAGCTGGATTGTAAAAAACAGCGGCAAAACGGGAATATTTTTGTTAACTAGCCTAATTATTTTCCGTTGCTAACTTAATTTCCTTTTGTTGGTATTTAGTTCACAAACTCTCATTAGTAGCCACAAAAGTCAACATTGCATGGGACGTGGACGTGACCGCCGCCTCTGATTGGGGTGGACTCTGATGTGGCTGGAAATTAATTTGCGGCTAATTAATAAACATTCGGCAAAATATGAGAATTAAAAGATAAATAAAATGGTAAACAACCAACATAAACACACTTTAAAAGCGATCCTATTAATTAGTCATAGCTTTAAAGTTTTTTCCTCTTATTATACGCCATCCCCATGAGAATTATGGGCATGGAAGGAGGCGTGGATGTGACTCAAGCTGATTTAACTATTTATGGTATATATAGTCATGGGATATAATTTTTTTTGGTTGATAATGTCACACTTTTTGAGCTAAAATCCGCCACCTGGACCAACTTTAACTGCCTGACGAAATTTGCATTGAAGTAGACTTAAGAAAATAATATTTGTAATTCAACAGCTAGATTTTATTATTTATTTTCCTATTTTTTAAGATAAACAGAAGTTATGTATGCAACTTTAAGAAAATAATTGGCTGCCCACGTCCGCATTAAAGAAACTAATTCTAATTCAAAAATGTGTCAATGGGCGGCTCAGAGACAATGCAAGCATCACATGTAATTTAAAACGAAGTTATAGAACATTCAATTAAATAATTTACCGGGAATACGTACAATAATTATGTGCTTTGAGAATATCATTTCGAAACTACTTTTGCAACAACTATTAAAACTGAAAGCATTGCAACTTGACTGCTACTCAATCCTTCTCATTTATAATTGCAGCTTTTCGAATCAAATTTCAGGTTTATATTATGCAAATGCACAAAGGCATCACAAATTTCTAAGAAAATGTAATATGTTAACTATTTTGCACTTCTGGAAATTGTGAAAATGACTTTTCGGTGCGAGATATGGGCCAAAAGCGCAATGTCGTTGGCCTAATGGCTTCGCAACTGAGTAACTGAAAAGAAGAATAATGTAATTATCCTTGATGGACATTGTGCAACAACGGTCCCTTTCATGTTTATAAATCTTCGAACTGTCAAATTTAGTGCAGTTCGGCCGTTGGCCGTTGGCCGCTGGCCATCAACCGTCAGGCTCGCCTACTTGAGCAGCCCACACATGACTCGTCCGGCAATCGAGCGAGAAGATATTAAGCCCCATAACTCTTAGTCTGTGGCAACACTGGCTGCCACATTTCCACTGTCAATTAGAACGAGTTGCAGAGTGCTGAGCCCTGACATGAAAATTAATTTTATCGCCCACTAAATTGAAAAATGGCGCACTTTGTTGACGCTCCTGTTGCTGTTCCAGGAGCTCAAGCTGAATCTGTTGCTCCATTGTTTTAGTTCTTGTTGTTGTTGTTGTTGTTATTGTTGTTGTTTGTCCCACCTCATAAGTTTCTGCCTGCGTTGTGCTCGAATTGGGTCAGATCGTGCACCGGCAAATGACCAGAAAGTGGGCATAAAGCCCGCCATGGCTGCTCAATAATGCAGGCTCTTTTTGCCTTTTCATGGCAAAAGCCACACATGAATATTTAAAATGGCCACAATGGCAGCGGCCACAACAACAACAACAATAACAGTAACAGCAACAAATCATTTCAAATGAAATTAAAACAACTTCGAGGGTCTCGAACCATTGAAAGGCAAACATTTAAGCCTCAAAGGACGAGACAAGCAAAGCAACGGCTAGTCATGTCAAGGCAAGCAAAACTAAACTAAAACGTCTGTTATTTTCGTATCCCCACTCTCCCCACTCCCTTCTCCACTCTCTTAACATAAAGTAGCGCAACAAAAACAATAAGTCCTTGATCGTTAAACGGTTAACTACCAAGCAATTATGTGGGTTGAAGTATTCAGGTAAGAGGAACAAGGTAAACGCAAAAAAGTGTACTTCCATAAAAGAGAAAGGTTCCCATCCAGCAGATCTATATTTAAGGCACAAGGAAACACGTCCTACTTGCCCATCCTGAACAACTTTTCCTGCAAAAGTTAAGTCCCCAATCCAAGTGATAGCCGCACTTTCCCTGTTCGGGTATTTGGGGCCATATCGTATAGCCACATTTTCTTATAGATCCAATGTTTAACCTAATTGAAAGATTATACTTATAATCGAATTTCAAGATAATAATAAATTATTCATTTCCTAGGGGCCATGCTTCTTATTGTAGGTTGTGATCTCTAAAACAGAAGATCAAAAGATGTTTCTTTTTAATATTTTTTGGTTGACGATTTTGTAAAATGTTCAGCATTAGAAAACAGTCAACATATTTCAGCAAGACCAAAACTACGAAGGCAGAATTCAAGATTTTAAAAATACAGCGTAAAACATACGCAATAATAAGATTTTGACAAACATCTATCTTGGACTAAGACCAAAATATTAAGACTAGACTAATATATTAAATATTATTCCTACTTGATGTTTCAGCAATTAATTAAAAATTCACTTAAAAGGGCTCTAAAATTTATGAATATATTTCAATTTGTTGAAACAACTTTTTGAGAAAAGTCAGGAAAAATATATGTATCTATTTAGAAAACAGTCAAGAAATTTCAGCAGGACCAAAACTACGAAGGCAGAGTTCAAGATTTTAAAAATATAGCGTAAAACTCACGCAATAATAAGATTAACATGTTAAGACTTATTTCTCCTTCATGTTTCAGCAATTAATTAAAAATTCATTTAAAATGGTTCTAAAAATTCAATCAGTTTATTGAGAAAAGTCAGGAAAAATACTTGTATATCCATTTGAGTGTGGATTAGATCCTATATTATTTTCTCGATATTACATAACCTTCCTTTGAGTTCAAAACCACTGCTTCGCAGAAATGGCCGCAGAAATGAAGTAGTTCAGTAGAAGGTGTTAGTTCTAGGCAGATGTTGCACATTCACCAAAAACTTGCATAATTGAGGACATAAATCAAACCCTT